AATAATCTGCTTGCGTGTTTTATGGTGGATTTTGTTAGTTTTGTTGAGATGTAGACCAGTGTTGTTCTTTTCATACATAGATCGGGATTAATATTTAATTATTTACAATTCGAGACATATGGTATATACATGAGGGTTTTCTTGTTTGGATTATTTCGCTCGACGTACTACGTCTCATGTTGTAGATTTTTAGTATTAATTCCATCTAGTGTATGCTCTTGTGACTTGGATGATTAGTCTGATCGCTAGCTGCATGATCTCGTTACCTGATCGATTTTGGATGCTTTATGTTATTATGATTTAATAGTGTTTTCATGTTGATTTGTGGATTTCAATTGTACGTTCTTTCGTAGTTTCTGTTATCGTATCGTTTTTCGTATTGGATTTTCGTTCGTTCTATTTTCTTTTGTCGGGTCTTGCCGTGCGCCATGCACCTGACGTACACCTGTTTTCTCTGGTGTACGTCAGACTTAGAGGAAGAACAGGTTTCTCAGCATGAGTGCCTTGCAGACGTAGCAGAAGAAGAAGCCAAAGTTTAGTTATTCCCTCTCGTTGTTCGATGATCTTAGTTTACTTTTATAGCATTTCTTTTCTATTTGATTAGTGTATTTTGTATCTCTTTAGTATTCATTTGTTCAGATTTGTATAAGGGTACGTTTGACCCATATTTTATGTCTGGGATGATTTACCATTGATGATATGTCTATTTTTATTCTGGGTTGTCATTATATTCTTGCTATCTGTGATCGGGGACCTGTGACTTCGTATTGTATTTGTTTCTAGACGCTTAGCGTATTGGATTGAGAAGAAAAGAAAAAGAAAAAAAAGATAGTGTATATTTCTTCTCAATCTAATACGTCGCGGGCTTGTTCACGTTCCGATTCCCGGGTATTTTGGGAAGCGGGGCGTGACAATTGACTTGGTGATACTATTTTACATATTTTTATAATTCTATAAATCCATTCAAAAGAATTTCCAAGCTTGTTTGAAATCATTTCATCAAAATCAAGTATTTGACGATTTCGTATTTTTGAACAGTTTGCAAAATACTTGTATTTTCACAAATGAGAAATGCAATTTAAAAATTTTCTTCTTTAACATGTTAATATTCATGTGTATTAATATTTTCCAAAATTTTATGATTTTTAGAATTGATTTAATATTTTAAATCATTTTTAGTATATCAACAATTCTGGAAAAAATCAAGTGTCTGAATGTATCTGTTATCAGTCGACTGTCACTCTTTAATCAGTCGATCGAAACCTCTTCATCTGTCGACCGACAAAGTGCAACCAGTCGACTGATCAGAAATAGGTTCTCAAACCCTGTAGGCTGGAGCTCATCAGTTGATCGATACATGTTCATTGGTCAATCGATGACAGGTGACCAGTCGACCGATACATACATATTGGTCGACCGACGGTGCTTCCAGATTTTTGTTTCAGCTAACGATCCACTCATCGGTCGACCAATTATGGTCCATCGGTCGACCGAAAATATTGTAACAGTCATTTTTCCAGACTCCGGGATTTTAAGAATTTTGTTGGTTTTGAGGATTTTCTCGGGATTTAGGCTATTATTTTGAGTGCCTATAAATATATTCCAGCCCTCATTTGTTTAGCATCTAAGAAAAGTTTAAAAACAAGTTTACAAGTTTGTTTAAGTGTGTTTTAAAGAAAATCAATTGTGGTGTTTATGTGAAGAGAGTTTCACAAGATGAGGAGATTGTTTTTGTTCTTGAGTTTCAATTCACATATATCTATCTCTCTTGTTTTCAGAGAAATTTATTTAAACTTATCTTCTAGCTTATTTATATTTTTGATTTATATATATTTACGCTAGATTTATTTAAGTTTAGTTTTTATTTTACTCATTGATTACACACACAACCTATTGGGATTTTAGCATTTCACATTAAGTATAATTTGGGTTGTGGTGAGTGATTCGTTAAGTGTGAGATCACATTGTAATACACAAGGACACTTAAAGAATTGGTTGGTGAGAGACGGGGTCAACTCCAAGAGGAGTGGCGTCGGTTGTAAATCCTAGGGAGAGGTAGTAATTCCGAGCGCTTGAGGAAGATGACACGGGATAGACCAACACTTAGAGAAGTATATTATGTATTGAAAATTGTGTGAGTTGTAAATGTTTACCGGTGATCGTTGAAAACCAATTGTGTAGTTGTTTTTTTTTTTGAGATAGTGGAGATTCTCCTCGAGGGCGAGGAGCGAAGATGTAGGTCATGGGTCGACCAAACTCCGTGATCATTTGCCTTGTGTTTGCGTTTGTCAATTTGTGCACTATCTCTCTTATTTGTGTGTTCATGTTTATATCGCCCGCCCATTGTTTAATTACATATCCTTGCACATAACTTGTTGTATATCATAATAGCTAGGATATTTCATCGTTAGTTTTAATTTGGCATTAATATCAGATTAGATTAGCATATACCCTATTCACCTCCCCTCCCCCTCTAGAGTACTTTCATAAGTGGGTCGATTTTTTCATAATTGTAGCAGGCTCTGCGGGGTACTTTCTTTCTCTTAAACTGCTACGATTTCGGTCCTCGTGGTTATGGTTTACTAGGACTAGTGTTTTATAGCTTCCAGTATTATGCCTCTAGCGGGCATAATTCAGCTCTTGCTTCACCATATTCAGTTTTGGTTCTTTCCTACTGGCTATTAAGTCTTGTTCTATCGCCAGGTATATAGGAAAATCAGTGAAAAATTTATTCACATGATTTATTCTTAATGTGGTAGCAGCTACAACAAGGAAAGGGGGTAGACTATTCAAAATGGTCGCCACTTGCATTTTTTCTGAGATTTCGGTCCCAGTAGTGGATAAGTCCTTAGCCATGAAAATCATCTTGTTAATATGCTCTACGACATTGTCTCCCTCGTGCATACGATAAGAATTATAATTATGCAAGAGGAGTTGAATATTAACTTCAGAGGCGGTGTCGTATTTTTCTTTTATATCATTCCACATGTCCATGGAAGTCTTATAAGTTTCAAAAACTTTGATTAAGTTATCTTCTATGAACATGAGCATTAAGCTTTTTGTCTTTTTATCTTTCGACTTCCACTATTCAAACCCTTTCTTTTTTTCAGGTGTAGATTTATCAGTAAGGGTTGGAGCAGTGGTTTCGATTACATCATCGATATTGTTATGAATAAGAGCATATCATATTTTTCTATGACACATACCATAGTTACTGTTATTAAATTTATTAATTTTTTTTAGTTTTGATAGAACGAGTTTACTAGTCATTTGGTAGAGAACTAAAACTAAATTCCAATTTTAAAATATGTATAAGGTTGGTATATAGATAGTTATACTATAATAGAATAAAGTTAGATAAAAAAAATTAAAAGGAACCCGACTGCTCCAAGTTGATGAAAGAGGTTCCAATTTGAGTGAGATTGTCACTTAGTGGTGTTAATTAGATAAGCACTTGTCGAAGTCGGTTCTGACTAAATTTTGGAGATGATATGCTATGTGAAACCAGCCTCACGCGGTGCCCTCCACTTCAAGGGATAAGTGAGCCAGGCCTTCGCTTGGCCCACACAAATCACTGCCCAACTTGGAACGGGTAGGCCAGCATATAGCATTGGTCAACTAGGCCCAAATACAAGGACCAGTGTCCCACTACTTCACAACCCTGCTCGGTTACAAGCTCGCGCGACTGAGCTTAGCCCACTTTTTGTTTCTCTCTATTATTCCCTCTTCTCCACAAAACGCTCTCTTGAAACCCTAACTTTAAATTTGGCAGATCGATCAAAGCTCGTAGGCGGCCAAGCTTAGAGATCGATCAAGAAATTGAGGAGATTGGAAGGGGACAAAGGTTGGAAGCTGCAATTTTTAACGGCCACCTGTGAGATCGATGAAGAAATGGAGGAGTTTGGACAGAAGCAGACTCGTCGTCACCGTTGTCGTTGATCGAAGCAGCCGTGCCGTCGACAGCATCAGAGTCGTCGTCGCCGTTGTCATCGATCGGTGCTAGTTCGAGATGGCGGGCATTCTGAGAGTTGAGATCGACGCTGGCTCTGATACCAGTGATCGCTCATAGAAAAGAAGAGAAAGAACAACAGATTTCTTTGAGGTGGCTCTGGTAACAGGTAGGGGGTTTGATTCTTTTTTTTTCCTCAAGGAGAACACTCCACCTTTTATAGGGACCAAATCTATCATTTCCACCCCCTCAAAACTACCCCTGAGAGATTTTCTCTCAACAACCCACTTCCCACGATTTTCTCTACTGAGATCGTTGATTTGGTAACACAAGACCGAGTCTAAGTTACATTTTTGACGACCCCTTTCGTTCGGAACACCTCACGCTCGGATTGGTTAAAATAAAAGGTTCAAGAATTCAAAAGAGATTGAAAATTGTATTTTTTTTAATTAATTAGAAAAAAAATCTGGATCTAGAGATTTAAGAAGTGCGCATCCCTTATGCTATTAACAGTTAACACCCCTGGGATGGTCCCACGAAACAAGTTAATCTACGGCGCGACATGTATCGATATTGCTGTTGTCAGTTTATCAGCATTCCGAAGCCGAAAGTACCATGATATGGATCGGTGAGATCTATTCTATATTACTTGGGGGGAAACTAAGGAGGAAAGAGATTCTAAAGTTTTTACTCAAGACGGTCAAAAGATGCGTGAGAACTAAACACGCGCGCGTCGTTCAAGAACACGCCCCGCCATGCTAAATTACGTACAGTCGACTAAAATTTCACCAATCCATATAGGAGGTAATCGGACAAACCTCGTAACAAAGCTGGATAGAATACTATGGAAGCCATTTTCCTTGGTAAACGACATGCTGGGAGAGCTCTCATGAGATTCTGTTAGGTAACACTCCAGGCGCAAGTTTTTGACATGCGCGACCTACTTTTGTAATTTAAAAAGCAAAAAAGAAAGGCCATGGAGAGATTTCCATGAGAAGACTTCAAGACTACCATTTAGTCATTTAGACCACAAGAAACCCGATCAATCAGATACACGAACAAACCATGCTGCTATCTTCTTACGCAAATGAAAAAAATTTACAAAACTTTCACCCACGATGTATAAAAAATGCACGCACATAATCTATAAATCTCCGCTTCTCTCGGAATTTAGATTACAGAATGGGGGTGAACCAAGGGATAGATAATACATTTGGCAGTAAGAAGAATAAAGACCGGGGAAGGCAAATCGTATAAATTACACAAAGGATGTATCCAACAAAGACCATCCGAAAATGTCAGGAAGCCCTACTCTATTAATCTCCAGTTGACAAGTGATTCGTGCAGGCTCTCAGTTGCAGGCAATAAAAGAGCTGGAAGGCACAAGAGGTAGCAATGTGGTACCAGTTCAAAACATGCAAACAGCATAAAAACTTCAAGGGATTTGATTCAGACTTCGTGCATGATATATGGTTAACTAGTAAGCTGGAACCGAGCACTTGGTTTTCTCTTTCTCCATCCCTGAGTGCAGAAAAGAGAAAAGGAAAGAAAGTAGAACATCACATATTAGTATCAGCAGTAATAACAGGCCATGCAACATCTTTTTTCAAGAGACTTACAAATGCCGCATAGTAGAAGAGGGTCAGTATGGCAAAACCAACAAAGCCATATTGGAAGACATTATACCTGTCCAACACAAATAAGTTCGAAAATATAAATGGGGTGATAAAGACCATACATGAGAAGGACGAAATAGTAAGGTTTTAAATATCGGATATCGGGGAAATATCGGATGGCCAAAATTCATATCGGATTGCGGATATCGGGGAAATATCGGGGATATGCGGTAAATATCGGAATGCCATAATGAATGTTTGCATACATAGTATAATGCATTAAAATGTAATCTCAACATATGTAATGAAATTTAAGCATACAAAATATGAATAATATATGTTTAGGATCACTAATCAACTTCTAAAACAAACAAAAGTGCAAAGCAACGTTGCAACATTCGATCTGCCTTTTTTAGGGCAAAATGTCATTTGATATAATAGAAAAATCTTGATATCTCGCCCAAAAATTCCAAACACGGTATATTATTTTGCAACAAGCTATATAAAAAGATATATTGGTCCACATATCGGCTAATATATCGGCCATATCGGGGATTTATCACTCAAAATAGCCAAAAAGCGGTAAAGGATATTTAAAGACCATATCGGTTGCGGTAAGCCCTGTAAAAGGATATATCGGGGGATATATCGGGCCATGTCGGGAATATTTAAAACAATGCGAAATAGTTTAGAAATCATGACTTACTTGTACAAATACTTAATTCCGCGAAGAGACTGTAGCGTGTGGCCAAATATCTCCTGCGCAGCAGTTGCTTGTGCATAGGACGCAAAAGCTGTGGCACAGAATTGAATCACACTGCAAAAGAAGTTATTTACTTTCATCACCAATAATATTTGGTCAACAAGTATCCTTGTAAGAATAATGCACAAATGCGAGAAAGTTTGATTATTGTAACTGATTTTGACTTTACTCCTCAAAACTAAAGAGCAGTTCAAAATGAAGATGCAAAGAATTATATTGCCATCGAGTTTTATGATGTCATCTCCAGAGGCTAGTTTTGTCATTCAGCTAAGCTTGATATGAATCCAGTAGAGATACAGTTTATTGCATGCACTAATTTACATATTACAATGATCTGAAAATAGAATCCTTTACATTACGAAATAAGAATGAGAAACTTAGTTTCTTCCCTTTGTTCTTTGAGCTAATGAGGGTGTCTAGGAACTTGTAACACCCACCTAATGCATCAGTCAACTTGATCAGAATTGGCAGGTAGAAACTGAAGGTGAGACATTTATCTATGATTGCATGGATATTAATAAAAGAAGAAATGATAACAAAATCGCCTCTACTGTTAAGTGCTCATACTTTGTCTGAATTCAACTTAATAACAAAAATAAAGAATACAAACGCAACATGAAAGTAGGGAGTGCCATGCTGCTTGGACTATGAAGCAGTTTTGATATTTGGAAAAACCAGAAATTCAAACTATCCAGATCTTACTCCCTATCTCAAGCAACCAAAGGATTATCATATATTGAGTTTGAGAAATCATGACCAATATATAAAACACTAAAATAAGGAAGTGAATTCATGTCATCACACACTTGCCTCTTCTTCAGAAAGGGGTGTTATGTTAAAGTAGGAAGGAGTTCCTTGCTACTTGAATTATCAAGCAGTTTTTGATACTTGGACAACCAGGAATTCAAATCATCCAGATACGATCACACCCTCTCTCAAGCAACCAAAGGATTATCATATATTGAATTTGAGAAATCTTAACAACAGATAAAACACTAAAATATGGAAGCTAGTTCAGGTTGTCAAAAGCTTGCCTCTTTGTTTGATAAGGTAATGCACAAAAACATCAACCTCTAGTTATAACATGCAGGATCTCTGACAGAACTATGACTGACATAACAAGGTCTTAATTGATTATGTCCATTTCAGAAGGAATAAATCTTTAGCATACGGACCTGATGGAGCATAGAAGGATGAGTCCCACATTAAACAGGAAGGAATTCATCAAAGTTGCTCCCCACCTGAAATCCGGTCAATCAATATACGTTACAAAGGTTTTTTTTTAAAGGCAAAAATGAAGGGATATGAAAGACGTCCATCAGGTAAACGTGTTGGATAAGTGATTACTTCATCGGGTGAATGGTTATAAAAACTAGATTTAGACCAAGCATCATAGCTCCAGCAATCACTGCAATTAGAAGGTAGAAACAGAAAAATGCAAACGCTGCAGTACCTAACAGTCCTGGTTCAATCAACAAAAATAGTGTCAAATAAATGATAGTTTAAGAAGACATCGAAGAAACAAACTAATAAATAGGCATTACTGATTTTAACATACCCCAGACATCATCCAATTTGATGAACACTTCATTCAAGAAAGGGGAAAGAGGAGGACTGATCAACGAATATATAATAATATGCACAACCCATGCCACTGAAACAATTAACCTTGAAAAAAAAAAGAGGTCAGAACTCAATCATCCTCAAGAGAATAGACATAGAATATATACTAAGGTGTAACAAATAATATTGCAGAAAAGCTAAAGGCTGAGGAAAGTATTAATATGTCCATATGTTTCTTTCTAAATGGACACTTATCAAGAAAATGGAAACCCAAATAAAGGCAGCAAAAGCTGCAAGCCAAGAAATAACAGGGGGTTAAGGCCAGCCTTCTCTTTTTTCTGATGGGAGGATGAAAGTTCACTGCCACCTTTCAAGGACAAGCAGTACTGGGAATAAGGCTGATCAATTTTGGTTGTTTTATCCATGTATTACTGATGGTTTAACCACAAGCATGCCAAACAAAACAAACTCTCTGATTCGGAAGAGTAGAGCACCAACTAAGATTAAAAGCTTCCTATGGTTGGTAAAGCAGTAAGCTATACTGATCTGACAGAATCTTTCAGGAGAAACTTCACCATGAATGCTCCTTCTGATTTCTGAGTCCTATCAAGATGTGCTGGAGACACTAGACCATTTTTTTACAATGCACATGTATCTTTGTCATTTTACATGCCCAATATCCACTTAGCTAATTGTAGTAGTATGAGATGTAACCATAGTCGTCCTAGAAAGAGTGTGCAAACTCACAAATGTGCTAAAATTCAGCGGATAGAAGTTTATTTGAGTAAACTTGTGCATGAGCGATCTGTTCATCCATAATACCAAATCATTTTAATTTCTACTACCATAATCGACTGTATTGAGTCCATTTTCACGAGAATAATTCACTAACTCTCTTTGTTACTCAATTTTCTTCTCCTGTTGTTTCTTCGCGACCTCATCTACTCTTCCCCTGCTCTCACAGATAATGAATTTTTTATGCTTAAGGGACTGCAAGTGCCTAAAACTGCAGATAAGAACTGCAGATTAGGAAGCCCAGTCATTACACGGAGCACAAACATGACAAGTCCAAGATACCACCCGAGTGCTTAGGTGCAGGCAGCTACCTTTTAGTACACTGCCAATATTAAGCTAACAAAATGGGAATGTATGCTGGAACTACTTATTAAGGAGAATACATTTCTTAAGCCAATGTTACTGAATATGCTGTGGAATAGCTGTTCTCTCACTTGTGTTTCTTCTCTAACCCTGTTGCCCGTGTCAACATATCAATCTAACAACTTCAAGGTAACTTGTGCTTCAACCTTCCATGTTATTGGGTTCCCCAAACAAAATAGGTGACAGTTTTACTTTTCAAAACAAGGATTCATCAAATGTTTTCTGTACAACATCATGAACCATAGTGTAAAAGACTTAATTTAATCAATTACATAAAAATGAGCCAAAGTGGAAAACAGACTCAGATTTGTAGAGATAAAATATGAAGGATCCATTAATAACTTCACTCGTGAACATGTACTTACCCAAAAATCCCCAACAGCAGTTTTCCCAAATAGCTAAGGACAGTGAGAGCCCAAGCAGCCTCTGCCTATACAAGAATGAAAAGGAAGGTATCAATAGATGGGAAACTCGAGCATATCTATCCAATAAGAATATTGTTATCATCACCTTTTCTCCTTGAGGGTACATCTCTTCCAAAGCCTTCATATCATCTTCAAGAAGGAGCAACTCCTATGAAATGCAATAGAAAATAGTATTCCTCAGAAGACTCTCAGAAAAGGTCGGTCAGATACATGGAAATGGACTGGTTCATAACAGAACTTCACCAAGAATTAAATACATAGACTGCCTTTTCCTCAAAAAAACCAAGCATAAAATGTGCAGTTGTTCTTAGAATGGCAGTGGATGTTTAAGAATTAAGATCCATTCTTGTGTCAGTCTGAGTCCACGTCTGTGTGTGCGCACGCATGCACTTGATCAGGAAAAATGACAAGAAAGCTCCTAGTGAAAAACGACAAGGCTTCTTCTTCCCATGAAAAATAGCATGACAAGAGGCCCCTTTGCTGGACATGAATACACCTCAACATGTATAGCAGCCATACTTCTGATACTCACCTCCAGCAGACATTGTGAAACCAAATTTAGGGAAGAAACAAAATCATTTCATAACAGAAGGAGATGATGGTGCACGATTAGTTGCCATCAGAAAACCGTTATATGATTAACGCGGAGATATTTGTCAGACTTGCTTGCAGTATGATGTAAATGGATGGCCGCTACTCTACTCATGTATATATTACCTCTAAACAAATTTGAATTCAATGTTGTAAAATAGAGGGAAAAAATAGCTCTCAGTGTTCTGAGACTAGAATGTAAGAATGTAAGATCCTCTTCTACTCTCTCAGAAAAGAACTTTGAATTTTCATGACACCAACCAAGTAGTTAATTATTTTATTTCAACTATTACATAAAAAAGAAAAAACATTCAGTTCTTATTTTTTGTAAATCTCAGAAAATCAGGATGCAAAATCACAGCCAAAGCTATTTTTGGAACTAAAACAACAAGAAACAAAAAGTAGTAAGCAAATACAGGTAATAACATACATGAAGCACAGTAAGTCCTCACGACTTAAAGCACTTGTAGCAAGTTCTGAAAACATATAGCTTGTTGTTTAAATTGAAATTGGCCATGTCAAAAATCTTGTTATTAGGATGATAACTCCTCATTTCAGTACTGATCACGCAAATCAATGCATCAAGGTTATAAATCAATTATCAATCAGGTTTGGACAGTCAACTAAGGATTAAAGAGCTATGGGCCCAATGGTACTTGCCCAGACGCAGATGGAGAATACTAAGAGAAAGACACTCATTTCAGAGCTGCTCTAGAGTTTGGCAATGACAAATGTAGAAACAAATGCACCAACTGGAAGATAAAGTATGGAACACTTAATATAAATAACTTTAGCATTTCCTGAGGCTTCTACAGCTTCCAAATTAGGACACCTGTATAATATATGTAGGATTACATATCAAAGAGAAAGTTAACTTTGATATACCTGTAATAGGACTATCGGCTGACAATTAAGTCACCGGAGCAAAACATATTGAGGCAAAATTCAAAATGCTGCTGAAGCAGCATAAAAAGCATGAAAAGATATTAATGGCCACAACTACACAAGATGTCAAGAATAGACAATCTTTGGAAAGTAAAAAGGGCATACCTTCTCAATAGCCTTCACATTTTTGCGCCATTTTCTCCCTTTGGAACCACTTCTTTCCTCCTGATGAAGGGCCTCAGTAGCCTTCTTCAGTTCTCTAGCTTTCTTCCCAAGTTCAGTTGCCTCCTGCAAGAACTCAAAGAAAACAGCTAAGATAGTCTTGACTAAAACTAACAGGTGTTTTTATACAAAAGCCATAAAGCTATGAAGGATATGACAGACCTTTATATACTGGGAACGAGTGATAACTGACTTGGGGCGGCGTATGAATGAAAATATGAGTCCCAACGGAAAGCAAGCAATACCAACACCTCCAAATATCTAAGGAAAGAACATCAAGAACACAACTGATCACATTAAGAGATTTGCAAATAGGTGTGAGCTTTTATACTAGCATGCATATAATCCATTTAAAGCATTACACAAGCACTTCCTTTATGAATTCATACTTGTGTCACATGGTAAAAGACACTTCTTTGATTCTCCTCAAGTATGTGTCAAACACTTCGCGAATGTCTCATCAATTATAATGTGCTAGTGTGTGTTTAAAACACTTGCAGGCCACCTTTGAGACACATTTTATGTTTCTTGTATAGTTCTTGTTTCACATATATATTTGAGATATTTATTCACTTTTATGTATACATCAACACTATAATGAAAAAAGTGATATCAAACCATGACCTATATAAAACTAGAATCCTTTAAATATGTTCTGACAATTAAAAGTTAGATACATTCAGCTACAATATAGAACATTGAAGATCCAATGCCAATTCCTTGTATATGATAAACTAAATTTTTTGCATAAATGTAATCGTATGTATGACATTTCATTATAGAGACGTGCTACAGATACACATACATTTATGTATTTATGTACATAAGTACTCTATAATTGTTATTTACATGATTTTTAGTGCTGCATTGCCATGTTGTGACCAAGTTTTTAATGGATTACATGTCATTTTAGTGTTCCATACAATTGTACAAATTTAATTTTGATAATACCACCAAACACACGCACAAACACACACACACACACACACACACACACAAACAGTGTCTCAGATTAAATGCAACTAAACAAGTACATAACATAAGGTTATCAAGATTGCTATCCTTCACATCAAGGAAAAGTTCCAGCTTCAAAAATCTAACATGCTCAGAGTAGACAAACATACTGTGAACAGCACTGATCCAACAATAGTTGCAAGAGCCACAACATATTCTGGGAAGGTGGCACGCATTGTCCAAGTGGTTTCTGAAGAAGCACTTGCGGTGTATGCATCACACTGCAATCGCAGCAAACAATCAACCAAAAGAATAATGACGAACTGCCACTTTGACAAAAACAGCATGCACCCGTTAATTCATCAATCTTATAAAAGATATACAACATTACAAGCAAAAAAACCCATTAGGCCCAGAAGACCTCTACACTAATGAGATCCAGGATGGCTAACAAACCAACAAAGAAATCTAACCCCTTCAAATTAGAGCAAGCAAAATGTGACCTAATTTAACAGATTGATCATATGGTTCAGAATGATCTTTAATACTAACGTGATTTTGATATGCCAATCCTGGAGAAAGAATATAACTCCATCAGATTAAAGTAAGCAAAATCAAACCTGGCGAGCAGATGAACCAATACAAGGTTGGCTGCTTGAGAACTCAGACCAGGAACTTGGGAAGCCCTCTGCCGATGATGAAAGGTGCCTAACTGTGAAATCAACTTTACCTACAAGCCCTGGTTAAGATTATGAAGTAGGAATAAGAAGTAGCAGTGCATTACAGAAAATTAATAAATTATAATAATTTGTGCAGTGTTGCAAAAATTAAAATTCATCATTTCTACACATCCGCAATTTATGTTGCCGATGTAAATAAAGAAGGAACAAAGATGAAAATTGGACGAAAACCACTTTTATTCCCCTAAAAGTTTATTTGAAAAGCAACTAGCGTTATGATGAAGGACAAGGATTTTCCAGATCCCACATGCCCTCAGGAAAGGAAGAACGAACTGCAACAAACTTCAAATAAATGTCAGCAGATCCATGAAAGACTTGGAAAAAAAAGGTCAGTAAAGGACAAACCCCTCATTGACCCCGTTGAAGGTACTAGAAAGTTTCAAAAGCTGTAAAAAATTGGAAGCCCGTGCACAAAGCTTCTGCTACGCAATGTTCCAGGGCGAGGTCAGACCACCTTGGGTTTACTATATGTAGCCTTTCCTTGTATTATTTTTATAAGAGGTTGTTTCCACGAACCCGTATCCTCCAAGTAGCCACCAAGTCACTCGGCTATAACTCGTACTATCATGTCTGGGCTCCCCTTCAAAGTTTCAAAATACTTGCAAAAATATATATAGCTTGAACCTAATCTTAGGTGCTAACATTCCTGACCTGCCTCGACTCAGGGTATACTACGTTTATCCTGTTTCTAGGGTGTTGCATGTATTTCTAGGTTTCTTTTTCATTTTTCTTTTTCCTTTTTTCTTTTTTTTTTGTATGTGGTGTTGTGGTCTTTTCTTTTTTTCATTTTCTTTTATTTTTATTTTTATTTCTTTTTCTTTGTTGGGATGGAGATGGGGGGCACTAAATTACCTTATTCTTTAAAACATCCGTCAACTTTTATTCTGAGACAATATATAAAGAAGTATCTTTATTATGAAAACAACAATCAATTAAAATCTATAAGTGCACCACATAATCATCAGAAACTTTTTTGCCATCAGCACTAGCATACATGATATCATCAGCACTGCCACTAACATACACGACATCATTCCTATCGATGTTACAATGACTAAAACATTACCAAGTTGTATCCCCCCACCCCCTCTCTTTTTCAACCATTAATTTAGACAAAGATGCAGATGAATGTTTTTTTTTACTTTATAGGACATCTAAATTATACTCTCACATATCTTGCATATTGATAAGCTTGACGCAGTTATGGCCCCTACACATTAATGAACTGGAATGAAAGAAAGAGAAAGTAGTCGAAAGGAGTTTGAGGAGAATAAAGAAGAAAATGAAGATGTTATTCTTGAGATGATAACAGAGATAAATCCACTTAAGATGATTGCTTGATGTTAGATTTGCTTGTTCCATTGTTTCCATGAGGAAGAAGGGTTATGTACTTAATTTAGGAAGTTATCGTTCCTTAAATTAATTATTTTAAGTTAAAATTTGGTTTGCATGTTTCAATTTTTCCAAGAAGGCTTATATACTAGGAAGTTATTGTTCATTAAATTAATTACATTTGTGTTTAATATGGTTAAATCACATGGTATCAACTACTAGCTTAATTAATAGTGTTATACCACCACTAAGCTAGAATTTGAGTTATTTATATACTTGTATTTTCTGTTTGCGGGCTTTTAGTTGTTCTCCTTTGTTATACTATGTATATTTTTTAAATTTATCCATAATTTTGCAATATACAATGATCATACATATAAGCACTTAACTATTGCACATGGCTTTATCTTATAGAGTAACAGTACATGATAATGATATGATCTACCTAGCCCGAGTACTTCCATTATGAGGTAGTAGCCGTAGACCCGTATCCAATACTCTGACCCAGTCACTTACACCTTGGACACTCCTTGATGTGTGCATCCAATGCGCATGCTTTAATTCAAAACATTGTCATATAATTTTTAGAAACATATCTTATCCTCACCATACACTTATTCATAGAATTATATTACATATTTGAGATGTCTATTTGTTTTCATTTAAACACCAAAGACTATAGTGGAAAATGCAATCAAGTACTGACTTTTATAAAAAGGTAAATTACACTGAAATACCCCAAAGTTCACACATATTGCACTAAAATACCCTCACTTTTAAGCCTTACAAATAAATACCCTAAAGTTCTCAAATGTATCACACGTCTTGATTTTTTTATGACCGTTAGAATATACAAAAAATATTCCCTTTTGGATGCCACATGGTACTCTGGAGCTCTCCTTTGCCGTTAAAGTTCATCAAATTTACAACTACTACCATCATGTTATATGAACCTTATCTTCTTCCCCAATTTGACGTAAAACTCATATCTTTCATTGTTTCTCCCCAATTTCATTGCAGTCAACCATGAAGGCAAGCTCTAGAAGTCAAGCTCTAGAAGTCAAGCTCTAGAAGTCAAGCTTTGTACCAAGATTAGAGGCCGTTGATGAGAAAGCAAAGAATGTGCTTCTGCCAGTCAATGGCTCCTTTTGAATCAGTTTGGTCAAAGAAAACTATAGTCGTAGGTTTTTTAGGTACTTCACCTATCAAGCTAGTTCTAACTGCAAGTATCTTGAATTTACCCTCCCCAAGTTCGTCCAATTTGCGATTAACAAGTTGCTACGTGAGAAGGAAGACGAGGAGAAATTGAAAAATCTTAAGAGCAGAAATTACGTGAGAAGGAGATGCATTTAAAGAGTAGGGAACTGATATCGAAAGAATTTGAAGAGAATTTGAGGGATAGAGAGAGAACTGAGAAAATTTGAGTAATATTCAAGAGAAAAGGAGGAAAAGTTTTCCAAATTGGAAAGTTTATCAAGCGGGATTCAGTTTATGTTAACTGTTGTGTTTCAGGGCAAATTTTTATGGTACTTGTGATCAAATGTATGTCAATTTGAATTGGTTGTAATTGAACCTTGTAAGCAGGCGCAAAGCCCCATCTTGTCTTGAAAGTTAAAATAAAACTAGCTAAATGAGCTGTATGTTTTGAAGTTGAAGAGTTTAGGAATGGGTTGAAGAGATTTCTTTCTCTTTCTTTTACTTTGGCTGTTTGGTTTGGACTTTTGGCTCTCTCTCTCTCTCCTCTTTTTTTTGTCTTTTCTCGGTAATTGAGGGCAGCAAATAGCTCTTTATAAGGAGTTTGAGTTTGGTCTTTTATTTGTGTGCTTGTGATTGTAATTGCGGGTAGACTCCCAACTGAATTATTGACATGTAATTCTACTATTGTGAATGGACCCTTTGAGTGATTTTGCCCCTTTTCAGGGAGTCTATCTACAAAATGGAACTAGAATGGTAGTTACTTCAATTTGGCGATAGTACTGGGGGCCTATTTGCAACATATAAAAAATTTTAATTTGTCTTGCATTAGGGATTAATTGCTTAATAATAATCTTATAAATCATAGGGGGTAAAATACTATAATGTAATTTACCCTTTATAAAAAGTAACAATGATCATGGCATCTCAGACCCATCGTCACAGTCACAATTAAATCTCCAGCCATAGCATTTTCTACAGAGCCGTAAAAAATAATCTTTTTTTGCCGCTGCCAGCATAAAGGGTTCTTATAATATAAGCAATTCTAGTTGTTAATATCTTCCATCAATCAGTCTATGAAGCTCCAAGCCATCCAACTCTACCAATGCTTACTAGGAGCCAACAGGATAGGTATTGGTCAATAACCCGTTAACCCCCCAAAAACGCCATGGTTACGTTATTAACAGCACTAAAAACCAGTTGATCCCAGCAAGGGCAGGGATCATAGGCAATGCAGAATCAAAGAAAAAAGAGAGAAATGTCACTAACCGTATAGAATTCCAAGCGCGAGAGCACAGACAACAGCCGAAGCGAGAACCCAGAGCAGCGCACTCCTCAGCCTCTTCCCCACGCTCCTACATTACAATCACCAACACATCAACTTCAACTTCAACTCCAATCAATCGAAAAAAAAAAAAACAGAAACCCTAGCCCTAGCCCTAGCGTCATCATCAAACGTACTTGTCCTGATCCCCTTCGTAGTAAAACATCGCAAACGGTATAAAGAAGAAAACAAGGACAGCATCAACAATATACACAACAAGCCACAGCGTCTTCATCGGGAGGGTGAGATGGCAAGCGCCATTGTAGATCGCGTGACGGCAAGCTTGGCGGTTGGCGACGTCGGCGGGGAGCATGAGGATGGAGATGGCGGCGACGGAGAGTCCGGCGACGACGACGAGCTTCGGGAAGTAGGCTTGGTTGACGTCGTCGGGGTGCTGGTAGTTGACGAGGAGGTAGATGTTGAAGAGGAGGACGAGGACGCAGACGACCGCGGCCACGATCACCTGGGCTAGGTTGAAATCCCCCATTTTCGCCGAGGGATTTATTCGATGGGTCCAAGCTCAGATCTGATGGATTTGGGGGGCTTTTTTGGGCGGGGGCGATTTGATCGGGAGATTTTGGGGATGAATTATTCGTTTTAGGGGGAAAGGAGGGCATTCGCGGGTTTATTTGGTAATTATTTTTTAAAATTTGGTCTATGTATTCTAGACGGAAATTTCCGTCTAGAATACTATTCTAGACGGAAATTTTCGTCTAGAATATCTGGTTATTTTTAAAAAAAATAAAAAATAAAGAAACCGTCTAGGATATTATTCTAGACGGAATTTTCCGTCTAAAATGTTTTATTCTAGACGGAATATTCTAGACGGAAAAATTCCGTCTAGTTTAATACATTCTAGACGGAAAAAATTCCGTCTAGAATATTCCGTCTAGAATACGTGATTTTCTACTAGTGGTTGGAGGAATCGTGGAGTGAAGCAACGTACATTCAAGTTAAAGATCAAGTTCAAGCTTCATCCGTATGTGTACCAAGTTGAGCTACAATGAAGATCAAGATCAAGCTTGGGTAATCTAGTTTAGAGTTTATATTATGTGTGTTATATACTCTAAGCTCAATATTATATTCACACACACATTTTTTAGTTTCTTAGTATATATATATATAGTTATATACATATACATCTTGATTTTTAGTTTTATCCACAAATAAAGTTTTTACAAATAAATTCCAAAAATTATGTATACATGCTTGTTTTCTATGTGGATAAGTTGTTTTGGTTTAATTTCATAGATATGAAACAAATATATTTTCATATACATACTTATACGTTTTACTTTCTATTGTATTTGTGAAAATATTGTTTTCTTGGTTTATAGACTTAAAAATAATCATATACATCTTTTATTAAGTCTACAAAATCATTTTGTAATATTTCAAAACATGGTTAAGCTACTACAAAATCATTTTGTAATATTTCAAAACATGGTTAAGCTAAAATGTCAAGATTCATATGTTTACATTTTCATGTTTTGGACTATTTTATAATATAATGATATTTCTCATTTGGGAAGTCTTTTTAGAAAACCAGTTTTTGTAGCATGTGTATTATCATGTCTACAATCATTCCCCAAAGTTTTATATTTTTCTGAATTTATTTGATATTTTTAAACAGTGTTTTAAAATCAGATAAACAAATTTTCAGACCTGTCATATCTGTTTTCGGTCGACCGCACCGGTCGGTCCGGTCGACCGATGAAAATTTTCGGTCGACCGACGAATTTTCCGGTCGACCGACGAGTGTTCCTTCAGCTTCCAACGGCTAGTTTTTTGACCGTTGCCTTGGGGCTGTTTTTGTCTTTTGCTCAGGTTTTTGGCTGAAGTTTGAGAGGGTATATATACCCCATTGTTGATGTCTTTTCAAACTGATTTAAGAGAGTTTTAAAAACAAGTTTAAAAAAGTTTTAAACAAGGGTTTGAGTTTGTTTAGTTTGTTTTTGGGGTTTGCTGTTACAAAGAGGAGTTTGCATCACCAGTTGAGGATTTCATCCTCAAAATCTTCTCATCCTCTCTTTGTGCTTATAGAGAAGTTTTCTAACTCTTTTCCCTAGCAATTTCATTATTGATTTATCATATATTAATTATTGCTAGTTTGCTATTTAAGTTTTCGGTGAGCTAGAAACCGAGTGTGTTGTGAAGTTTTCGGTGAACTAGAAAACCGAGTGTGAGGAGTGAACGTTGTTCGGTGAGCGTTGAAAACCGACACTGTGAGGTGTAAACGTTATTCGGGTGAACGTAGAAAACCCGGTTGATAGTGGATTTCTCCCCGGGAGTGGGGAGCGGAGACGTAGGACGGAAGGTCCGAACTCCGTGATCATATCTTGTGTTTGAGTGTGCTTTGGCGTTTATTTATACTTGTGTTTATAATTCTTGTTGCCATTGTCATTAGCTCATCATTTATATGATCCACTATCTAGTTCATATTGTTTACCCTTGTGTTAGTTTATATATCCGCATATATATTTCATCATATAGGATATATCTTATTGTTTACATTGCTTATCCTAGCTTACAAATATTGTTGTATTTCATACTTGCTAGGATAACGTATTAATTAATTTTAATTGGCATTTAAATCGGATTAGATTAGCATAAGACCCTAATCACCCCCCCTCTAGGGTCTAACATAAAGTACTAACACACATAATATAAAACCTAAAACTCAATTTACCCAAGCTTGTGATCTTCAACGAAGCTCTATCTTGGTACACTTGAGGATGAAGCTTGAACTTGAATCTTTAACTTTGAATTGCGTAGGTTTCACTCCACAATTCCACCAACCTCCACTGGATATGATCGTGAATGCGCAATTCCATCCATCTTCCAATATATTATTTGTCTATAATAAATAGAAAAACACAAACACTAGACAAACAATATTAGTAGTAAATTATTTGTTAAACATCATCAAAACAAGAAGGTCAACATATATCAGCGATTTGAAGTACTCAATTCAAGAGAAGGTAGCCATCCGAAATGTGTACTCCATGGGCAAAGCCCATAACATGGCTCTCAAGGTAGAAAGATTAGCCTCCAAGGCGTTACCTTTCAGACGAACCGAACATGGAAGTTCGGTCGAGAAGGCAAGAGGTGAGTTGGCAGGGCAAAGAATGATTGAACGACCTGTTCCTCCACGATCATCCGAGCGGTCGACAACTCAACCACCACCCTAAACGACTCAATCAAATCAGTATGCCAAGCCGAATGCAAGAAAATGCTTCCGATGTCTCCAACCAGGACACAAGTCCAATGAGTGCCTACAGCGGCGGAAGGTTAATCTAGCGGATTATGAAGAGGCGGAGGATGGACACACTGCATCTGAAGAAGAGTACGAGGAATGAGTTGCCAAGATTGAGGGCAACAACATGTCGTGTGTTGTTCAACGACTTCTATGTGCTTAGAAGACACCGGATTCATCACAACGACACCAAATATTATTTTCTAGGTGTTCGGTCAACAACAAAGTGTGCACCCTCATCATTGATCATGGAAGTTGTGAAAATATAGTATCAAAGACCTTGGTGGACCACTTGAAACTGCCAACTGAAGCAAAACCCGTGCCTTATACTATTGGCTGGATCAAGAAGGGTCCCTCCGTGAAAGTGACCGAAGTATGCCGCGTACCACTGTCACTAGGCAAGACTTATAGTGATTCTATTGCTTGTGATGTTGTGGATATGGTGTGACGCCCCTGGGTTCACTCAAGGCTGCAGTCCAAGGTGAAACCAAGAAAATCAAACCTGCCATGCACCACACCGTGCAATAACATGTTTCACCATTACAATTAACATCTATCTAGTAGAGTCAACAACAGGTGTATGTACAAAAACAGGTAAAAGATAATACAAGAAATAACTGATGAAATGATAGTGATCACATTAATACCTCATCATCCAACATACAGGAATACATAGTCAATGTCTGAATAGATAAACTGGAATATTCAACAAGTCTCAAAATACAAATATCTGACAAGAGGAAATAAGGCACACGACCTTTACAACTTCTAGAATAAGACTCTCAAATGTCTAAACAAAAGTCTATTGTGGAACTCCAAAAGAAAATATAACTAAGTAGACAGCTGAAGCTAAAAATGCATCGCCATCAACCTGCGACTCTCCGGGCTCCTGGCTCGTTACCTGAAAGGGGGAGGGACAACGAGCGTCAAAGCGCTAGCGAGCAACATCACAACCAACCCCAAGGAAACATGGCTCGTTGTATAAGAAAATACAGTTAATACATAATAGATCTAAAATCATTGATCTTACTAAAGAGGATCTTAGTATTTAGAAATTTACAACACGAGCATAGGTACGTCGAGCGAAATAATCCAAAAAAGGAAACCCTCATGTATATACCTTGTATCTCAAATTGTAAATCCCTAAACACCAAACCCGAGGCTCTAGTACATAGGACAATAATAAATTAAAAAGAAAATGAAACACATCTCTACTTCCAAACATAGTGTTGTTGGACCCTAGAGGGGGGGTGATTAGGGTCAAGAGGCTCTAATTATGCAATAAAAATTAAGACAAACAAACCACAATAAACTGATGCAATCAAAGTAAGTGAGATAGGGTTAGGAATCGTTATCCTTGACGCGTGATGTGTTAACGAGGTTCGGCCCGCTGACCTACGTCCCCGCTCCCCACTCTCGAGGAGAAATCCACTACACACCCGGTTTGGAAGCCGGAACTTCGTCTACACAATGATCCCACAAGATCTCTCTCTCACTACACAGTTGATCTCACAGATCACACTCCCTCACAGTCGATCTACACAAGATCTCACTCACAGCAGCAGAAGATAAATGCAAGACACTCTCTTTACACAAGCCCCTATAGCAAAGAAGAAAAACACAGAGAACAGGTTTGAAAATTTTTCTCAGGAAGACAACGTCTCTCTCTGGTTTTTGCAAAACGTTAGGGCAATTGGGAAGATGAAGGGGAAAGGGTTTAAATAGAAGAGATTAATCATTTTAAAAACACAACCCAATCTTCCAAATTAAGAAAATAATCTCCTTTTCAGACCATTACCACAGACTGTGCCAAACACGGTTAAGTGAAAGCACAGCAAACGAGGCAATCGACCGTTTGAAAAAAAAAGTCGCGGCTGACCGAAGAAAATTTCGGTTGACCGAAGGGATTTTGGCAATCGACCGTTTGAAAAAAAAAGTCGCGGCTGACCGAAGAAAATTTCGGTTGACCGAAGGGATTTTTGGTCGACCGAAAAAATTCTTCGGTCGATCGACCGAAAATCCGGTCGACCGCGAACAACTTTGAAAACCCAGAAAACAAACAGAGACTTCATCGGTCGACCGACGCGGTCGACCGATAAAAAAATCGAGATTTCGGTCGACCGGGTCGGTCTAGTGACGAATGACCTTAAGTGTGGTCGACCGGTGCGGTCGACCGCATTCTGATACATTTCAGAAAAGCAGATTTTGACTCAACTAAAATATTTGGAAAA